TCTTTCAAAATGTGTGAACTCCATCATCAACATCATTTCACCATTGTAAATATTTTCCTTTCGAGTGACAAACATTTAAAGACTACTAACCCTAAAGATCACACTATCTGTCTTAAACATGCTTGTCATTTAGTATTCTTTATCAGATTAAAACGCTTGGTTCTGAAAAACAATGATAAAGAAGATCCTAATGGTTGACGGTGAGAAGTATCTATGGATTCAGATTAGTTGAGTTCAATTTCTGGCTCCACAATTTACTATCTAAGGGTCCAAGGGCAAGATTGGTCATTCCTCAGTGCTTCAGTTTTCCAATCTATAAAACAGTACAAACACCTCAAACAGGTGAATGTACACCTCATAGGATTGCAATGACTAAATGATATACTTCTATTAGCACACAGAAAATGCTCAATAAATGATAGTTATTATGTTTTACATACACTTGAAGAGGAGTCACATACTCACACTTATTAGGATGGCTATTATCAAAAAAAGAAAAGAAAAAAATGAAGTATTGGCAAGGATGTGGAGAAACTGGAAACCTGTGTACTGTTGGTGAGATTGTAAAATGGTACAATCACTATAGAAAACATTATGGCAGGTCCTCAAAAAATTAAAAATATAACTGCCATATGATCCCACAATCCTACTTCTGGGCAAATATCCAAAAGAACTGAAAGCAGGGTCTTGAAGAAATAATTGCACACTCATATTCCTAACAGCATTATTCACAACAGCCAGGAGGAGAAGGTAACCCAACTGTCCATCAATGAATGGATGGCTGGATAAAATGCGGTATATACACACAACGGAATATCATTCAACCTCAAAAAGGAAGAAAATCCTGTCAACAGCTGTCAATGGACGGCCAGATAAAATGCGGTATATACACACAACGGAATATTATTCAGCCTCAAAAAGGAAGAAAATCCTGTCAACAGCTGCAACATGAATGAACCTTGCCAACTCTACACTAAGTGAAACAAGCCAGTCGCAAAAAGACAAATACTTCTATGAGGTTTCTAACATGATCAAATTCACTGAAACAGAAAGTAGCACGGTGGCCACAAGAGGCTAGGAAGTGAGAGGAAAGGGGAGCAGTTGTTTAATCGGTACAGGATTTCAGTTTTGCAAGACGAAGAAGTTCTGAAGACTTGTTTCACAACAATATGAATACATTTCATGCTCCTGAACTGTACATTTAAAGATGGTTAAGATGGTAAAGGGGTCATATTTTGAAATCTAGTATCCACAAATAAAGATAGGGCAAGGTCCTTTTATAAGGGCTAATGAAACTATTAGAGTTTAATAGAGTAGCAACAAATGAACTGGTAACTAAAAAACTCATAAATGGACAGTATTATTACATAATCCACTTTCATTTTGAAGTATCTACAGAAATAAAACACTGCGTTAATATAAGCTTATTTATTGCAGACAAAATATGCAAATCACATGACGCAACTTACTCGTCTCTAAAGCCAGCCTAATCTTGGACACTGATTTTTCTCATGCACAAGGAAAGCAGATGAGTTCTCCGATCCCGTAAGAAATAACTGCAGGGGTTTAGACTGGTATGAAGTCTCTAGGGACTACCAGTGTCACCTCAGATCCCAGACACCTTAGAACCATGAATGAAATGAAACCACTATGGACCTGAACACCTGGGCTCTGATGATAATCAAACCATACCCTGTCTACTCACAAAATTTTCAAACTTAAGTACAAAAAACTGGAATACAAAAGCAAGTTTTCAAATTGTTCTCACCTAAATCACGGAATGAAATTAAGCTGACTTTATTTTCCTTTACACAAAAATAATCAGCAGGTATGTTTTGGGAGTACATTTTAAACAAATGTGCAGTTCATGGACTTTTGTTAAGATATAACTTTAAATATTCAGCTCTAAAGAAACAATATATCAGCTGAAACTCAAAACTTAATAAAAACTTCTCTGTTTTCAATAATTTTTAAATCTTTAAGCCATCCTTCAAAGATACTACCAAGAATCTATCAACACTAGAACAATGATTTCTATATTTAAATTGCAAGTATCAATTATAAAATGCACTATTTCATGTGTCAGAACACAAAAACACTGTCAATTAAAAATGACATATATCAGATATTGAAATATTTAAAAATTGGTATTTTAGAACAAATATAATACAGTATGTACATGCTTGTCCCTCTGAATAATCCAAAAGTACAGGAACCTAATCTATATATGAACTACAGGGGGAAACACCAAAACCCCTAGAGACTCACTCGAACTTTTTAAAATGAATGAAAAGTCAATATAAACTACCAGTTCAAAGAATCAATCAATAAATGATCAATGCAGACTGCAAATTCAAAGACACTCGGCATCCCAAACAGATAACTAGGTAACTTACTACGGCCTAATCAAGTGACTTCCAAACCAAGGAAGTCAAAACTGTAAGCACTGACTGACTTTCAAACAGCTCAGGCTGTCAAGACCCCTGTTCTCCTTTAATCCAATGGTCCACAGGTACCAACTCAGAAGATAGAGTGCCACTTACTGAGAGAAAAAACCTTTCAGTAAGTGGCACTCTGTCTTCTGAGTAGGATTTTTCTGCAAACATTATGGACACGATGAACTGGTTTAGCTTAGGGCAATTTACAAATTTACAGTACATTTATGACACTTTCAGAACAATGGTAGAGTTGCAAAATACAAAGAAAATCTTATCAGACTAAACATTTTCAGACTAAGTATTAAAAGCTATTCAGGAAACACGAGAGAATGCATTTATAACTCAGTAGTATCAACAATGAATTATAGAACGGAAACACACAGAACCTCTATTAAAATGTATCTATTTCAAACCTCCTAAAATATATTACTTTTCTTACACCAAAATCTGATATAGTACCACATCCTATAAAACATTAAATATAAGTAAATCTTAATGTCAAAGTAAATTCACAACCAATGAAATTATGCAGAAGATTCACAAATATAAACTTAATAATTAGAAAGCTAATTTTAGGCTAGATGCAGTAGCTCACGCTTATAATCTCAGCACTTTGGGAGGCCGAGGCAGGTGGATCACGAGGTCAGATCGAGACCATCCTGGCTAACACAGTGAAACCCCATTTCTACTAAAAATACAAAAAAAAAAAAAAAAAAAAAATTAGCCAGACGTGGTGGTGGGCGCCTGTGGTCCCAGCTACTCGGGAGGCTGAGGCAGGAGAATGGCATGAACCCAGGAGGTGGAGCTTGCAGAGAACAGAGATTGCGCCACTGCACTACTACCTGGGCGACAGAGCGAGACTCATTTCAAGAGAAAAAAAAAAAACAAAACTCTATCATAAGAATACACACATTCAAAACAGCCAAGGCAGAATAGGTCAAAAATGTCTCTGAATATAGCAAACCCATCCCCAACCTAGACAGAAATATAAATGTAGATTTTGTTATTTCACTAACGATTTAATTTTCTTAAGTTGCTGCCTTCACACAAAGAAAAGTCTGGAGTCTATCTATCTATCCATATCTATCTATTCATCTCTCTCTCTCTCTATATATATATACACACACTGTATATAAAAACATGTACGTTTTTCCGCAACAGTAACCGCACCGAATTACTAGGCTCAGTGTTGATTCAGAAAACAAATAACTAAGAAATGCTTTTTGCTGTTTTTCCAGAGGAATCCAATTTGATCATCCAGTTTGACCCTGAACCTCAGAAATTCAAATGTGTAAAAAATGTCCATCAATGTAGACAAAACCGGCAAAATGTTAATAACTTCGGGAGCTAGGTAACAGTTAAAAGGCAGTTCATTACACTGTGCTCTGTATTCTTACGTTTTTAAAAGTCTACTAAAAATGTTAAATTTTTAAAAATTGTTCAGGTGCATAAAGTGGTCTTTACGAAAATCTTTCATTCTAAAACAGTAGAGAGCATCCGTTTACCAATAATGTATTTGACAGGACACACTGACTTGAAGGTAGTCTTCAAATCACACCAACAATTACTCTATCAACAGACAGATGTAAGGCCATATCTGCCTGGAAGTTACTGAAAAAATAAATGTAATACAATTAAGTATATGTCTCCTTACGTTAAAATGCTATATAGTTGAAAACCTAAAAAAAAAACAAAAAACAAAACTTCATTCTTGGAATTGGAAGGGACAAACTTTCTAGTTCAGTAGTTTGCAAGCTTTTTGAGGTACCTGGACAAAAGAGCCAGATAAGTCACCTTGTTTTATACCTGGGAGATTACACACAAAATATTAGATGATGCTTTTAAAAATGATTTATCCACTTAAAAAAGGCTTTAAACCCATTTTGCCATTTCACCAGCTACATTCTACAGCTTATATGGTGGCGTAGAAAAGATTAAATGACTTTTATAATATCACTGAATTAGTGGCAAAAGAACTCAAGACTCTTGATTATTTGTCCAATTCTCCTTTCAAACAATGCGCCACTTCAAATTAAGTTACAATTAAGAATAAAACTTTCCATTTTCTTGCCTGTAAAATATGATTATTAGACAAGATCACCTCTAAGATCATTTTTCAGGTCTAAAATTCTGATTCCATGAATGCCAAGTTTAAACAGAAGTCTATATTAAGGGACTGAATGTTCTTACACACAGCAGAATCCTTCACACACTTTCAATGACTTCAGAGACATACAAGTCAAATACAAAAGCAAGCTAACAGTAACTCAGTCATACCTTTTAGGTCCTGAAACATTTTTGCAACATCTTTTAACAGTTAATGCTATTAAGCTGTGAAGCAATGTTCTCAAAAGCCACTGAAATGATACTGAAAGTTTTTTGGTTACTAGGTATTTTAGGAAAGGATACTGGCCTATGAAAAACACACACGCACTGAAGATGTTCAAGTTACCGAACGCCTCATAGAGAATTAAGTACATCATTTTCTTAAGTTTAAAATAACTGAATCAAGAGGAGCATAAAGCCTAGCTGGCATAATAGTTACAAAGTTTTAATTCCCACCTATTAAAGCCTGAAAGAGGTTGCTCTGAAATATGTTAATAACCCGTTCTATGGAACTTCTGAGCTGTCTGTCTTCAGTTTGGCTTAGTTTTGAACGATATTCTTCCAAAAGGTGCAATGCTCTCTGGGTATCTGAGAAGAAAAAGCAGAGCCTGATTAAAACTCTCTATTTACAAAAAAAGTATCACACACTAGTGCAAATAATTCTGCATGACACCTAAACAGTTCCTCAAATCCTTCAGGTCAACTGATGTCACTATGTTCATGTACACATATTCCTTAGAATGACCAAAAAATAAAAAAAAATTAAAGACAAGAAAAATTTAAACATATATCACATTAGAAAACGGAGGAGAGTGAGCAGTTTGGAATAAATACGTACTGTTAGTTTGCCAAAGTAAAAGATCAAAGTATTAGCAACAGTTTCAGATTACCTGATATGCAAAAGCAGATAATCTACAATTTGTCATTAAAATCCAAATTTTTAACATTTCAAAATACAAATCCTTAGTATCCCACGGTTGCCCACAGAATAGTGCTTAGTAAGAATGATGAAGTGAAATACTAAAACACCAATGCAGAGTTTTTAAGGACATCTGTGGGGGGGGGGGGGGTTAATTGCCTCTCTTAATCACCAGAGAAATGTTAAGAAAGTTTAACAAACATTTTCCTGTTTCCATCTTCTGAAATGATGTGAGACTTACATCCCCTAACCAATAAAGCTAGGACCGTGCTGTCTCATCAAAGTTACACAAACTATTCTAAAACAGCAATCAAAAAACTGACATATGGAAAAGCCAAGTGACATCAACAGAGTTATGGAATAAACTCTCACCTTGCTTCCGGACCGGCATTTTTCTCCAGAATCAGGAAGAGGGCACACACCTTTAAAAACACACAACAGAAAGGAAAAAGGATAGAATCATGTTAAACTAGCATTTCCCCCTATCGAAATAGAAAACCCTCGCAGCCCCATTGGAAAACCCCACGTTCCAAAGTTTTACCAAGTCAAAGCAAGAGTCTCAAAACGCAGCAGTTGTCTGTCAATGTGGAAAGCTTTTCCCTGGAGTGGGTACCCCTCCAAATTAAGAACACAGAGAAGTCGGTGTTCAAACTCTCCTCGAAAGCGTCCCCCTCCCCAAAGAGCGTAGACCTGAGGCCGCCTCTTCCCCCGGCACAAGTATCCACGCTCCCCACCTGCTACTGGGGACGGGCCGGTGAAGCGCTCCGACCCTTGGCCCCTGAGCCAGCAGCGGCCGCAGAGCGCTGAGAGAGGACCGGCGAGACTGGCCGCCCGCCCTGCCCGGGCCCCCTCCTCTGCTTGCCTTTCTCCTTGCTCGCTGCCTCCGGGCTGCTCCAGCGGGGGCCGGACAGGGCAGCGGCCGCTCTCCGCGACGCCCTCGCGCCCCGCATGCACACCTCCGCGGGCCCCCACACCTGCGGCGCCGCCACAAAGTTCCCGCGAGCGGCGTGCGCTCGGAACTGGGGTGCGTTCCGGCCAGACTCGGAGCAGCTCCCCGGCCCGGCCCCGCTCCACGTACCCCCGCCCCGCCCGGGGCCCGAGGAGCCCAGCGGAGGGGGTGAAGGGACGGGGGAGGAGCTCCCTTGGGCCGCCGCACCCCCGCGGCCTCTTCCTCCTTCTAGGTCGCGCCGCCTCCCCGCTCGCCGCGGCCCACCGGCCCGCTCGCCCAGTTGCCGCCTGCCCGCCCCACCCCCGGAACCTCGCCTCCTTCCGCGCCCCCAACCGCTCTCCCCCTAAACTTTCCGCCAAGATGGCGGCCCCCGAGCTGGCCTGCCGCGCTCCCACGTGACCGCCTTCCCGGCGCTCTCAGCCAATGGGAAGTGAGGAGGCGGCTCGCGCCGAGCCCCGGGCTCCCCGCGCTGCTACCTTCGGGTTGGAAGGGGGAGGCGGGTCGCGAGAGGGCTGGGGAACGGAAGGGGGACCCGGGGAGCATCCTGAGGGAACCTCCTCGCTTAAAAGGGCGGCCGCTGAAGTGGCTCTGAGGACAAAGGAGTTAACACGCGGACTCCACAGGTGGCCCGGGGTGGCCCTGGAGGAGCCCGCCTTTACCTTGCCCGAGCCCACCGGCGTGTCCCGCAGTTCCGAGCTAAACGCGCCAGGCCGGGAAGGCTCGGGCTGTCTGAAGAGAGGCGTGACCTCGCCTACACCAGAGCCAAGGCGCACATTCCGAGACACCCCTTAACCTCATTCAACACGTGCCGTTTCCAACTCCGCTGCTGAGAGAGCGCCTGGCGACCCCAGGGGTAGATCCCACCGGGGAAAAGCCGCCTTAAGGAGGAGCCAACTGCACCTCCCAGGGGGCGGGGAGGGCGGGGCCTGGGAGAGGGAGAGGGAGGAGTTCGGGGAGGGGTGCCAACTCTGCATTGCCTTCCACTCCAGGCTGCTTGTTAAGTTCCTATTCGTCCCTTAGTAATAGGCTTGGCGGGAGGGGGTTCATTAAAGAAGGACATGTAAAATAGAGACACAGGGTAATTTGGCAAGAGTTTGAGGGTTATACTACAAGATTTTTAAGCCTAAGTGATAAATTCCAAGTATGGTATACTTAAGGGTGGGGAGAGAGGTTTGTTCATTCCTTCCTTCCTTCCTTCCTTCCTTCATTCATTCCCCCAAGCCTGCGTCCCAGCCCGGTCAGCATCGCAGGTGTTACCCAAACGCTGACGGTCCCTTTAAGAACTCACCTGGAGTCGCGCCCTCCGAAGCTGAGCCGCCCTCGGCCAGCGCTGCAGGTTTAAGTTTCGAGCGCACCTGCGAGCGGAACCGCGGGCCGGCTGGGACCCCGCTCCCGGGCTGAGCCACCCAGGTTATAGAAGGGGAATCTCGGGAAGCTCTCCAAGTCACTGCCCAGGTCTTCGAACCTCCTCTGGGTGACAAGGACCTCCCTATTCGGAGGTCCAGAGAGAACTTGCCCAAAGTTACCCCGAGTGAGTGACAGAACTGGAAACCCGGAGATCCTGTCTTTCAAAACCGGAAGGCTCTTCCCAGTAAGCCTGACGGCCTCTGAGGCCGTATCCATTGGCCACTAAAGGGAAGGCCGAGGAACCTCGTATTGTAACCTTAAAGCTACTCGCAGGTATACTGACCACTGGTTGAATTTTGGATTGCACCTTAGAATCCTAACTTATTGTAAGGACCCACTGACTTTAGAACCTGTCTAGGACAAGGAACCGAGGTCCAGAAAAGGGAAGCAACTTGTCCAAGGACGTAGAAGCTAATCCGTAACAGAGCAGCCCAGAACTTAGGTCTCCTAGCTCTAGTCCAGGGCTCTTTCTGTTGTGATTTTGGACAACTTGACAGAGAGGTATGTTGGTATGTTGGCAGCAGACCTCTGTGCTTTCCCAGATCAAGCATCCTGGGATCTTGAACAACAGTTAAAGCAACATTGCATAGAGAAGATGGGATAGAAGGGTCAAACAGTCCTGAAAGCAGGGGTGTCCTAAAAGCCAGGAACTTAACAGAGGGATGGAAGTTATTTAATAGTGAAAATGGCTCATGGCATGCATGATACTCTCAAGATTTCATTGATGGACTGTGAATGGAATGGTTGCAATAAGAAACCGTTCTAAGAATGGAATCGCTTCAGAATTCAGGAGAAAGAGGGAGGGAAATTTGCCCTCTCCCTTGATGACATTTATTGTTCATATATGTTCACTTGCTAGGAAACGGGGATAGAAATAAATAAGATCCAAGTCCTGCTCTCAAGGATACACAGCCTCGTAGCAAGTGCACAAAGGCCAATGCATGTCTTCCCAGGGGACACTGAGGAGTCAAAAACAAAATTTGTGTGAGTTCTCAATGTCATCCTAGCCTTCCCCTAAAAGCAAAAAGGAGGAAGAGGAGGAAAGAGGACATGTCCTTTTTCTTGTCATTCTGTGCGACAGCCCTGTTTGGTTGTCAGCAGTGTCCAAAAGCAGCAGTGAACCTAGCACTTGTTCTACCCGCTAACCTAAGGTGCAGGTAGCAAGTGCCTAGCAAATGAACATATATGAGCAATGAATGAAGGTTCTTTACTCTTCATTCCTCCTTTCTACCCATCTTTATTAGTTACTTATTGCTGGATAAAAAAATTCCTCAAACCTTAAGAGTTTAAAACGTATTCGCTTAGTAACTTAAACAGCGATAAATAGTATCTCAGTTTCTGCATGTCAGGAATTCAGGAGCAGCATAGTTGGGTGGTTCTGGCTCAGGGCGTTATGATGTTGCAGTCAAGAAACCTACCAGGGTTGCAGTCATCTGAAAGCTTCAGTGGGACTAAGGGAGGCTCTTTCAACATGGATCATTCACACAGCTAGTAAGCGGATGCTGGCTATTGGGAGGAGGCTTCAGTTTCTCACCATGAAGACCTTTCTATAGGGCTGCTTGAGTGTCTTCATGACATAGTGGCTGACGTCCAACAGACCAAGTGATTCAAGAGGGCAACACAGAATAAGCCACAATGCCTTTCATCACTTAGTCTCAAAAGTGACACTCTGTCATAGTCTGTTTGGGCTGCTATAACAAAATACCTTAGACTGGGTGATTTATAAACGACAGAAATGTATTACTCACAGTTATAGAGGCTAAGAAGTCCAAGATCAAAACACCATCAGATGTGATCTAACAGTAATGAGAATAAAAATTTTTTAAAAAAGAAAAAACTGGCCAGGTGTGGTGGCTCATGCCTATAATCCCAGCACTTTGGGAGGTCGAGGTGGGTGGATCACGAGGTCAGGAGTTCAAGACCAGCCTGGCCAAGATCATGAAACCCCGTGTCTTCTAAAAATAAAAAAATTAGCCGGGCATGGTGGCAGGTGCCTATAATCAGCTATTCAGGAGGATGAGGCAGAGAATTGCTCGAACCCGGGAGGCGGAGGTTGCAGTGAGCCGAGATCATGCCACTGCACTCCAGCCTGGGCGACAGAGCAAGACTCTGTCTAAAAAAAAAAAAAAAAAAAAACACCAAGAGATTCAGTGTCTGGTAAGAGCCTCATTCCTCATGAATGGAGCTTTCTTGCTGCATCTTCCCATGGTGTAAGGGACTAACAAGCTCTATCAGGCACCTTTTATAAAGGCTCTAATCCCATTTAGAAGAGCTCCACTTTCAAGACCTAATCACCTCCCAAAGGCCTCATCTCTTAATATGATCACTTTGAAGGTGAAGATTTAAACATATTAATTTAAGAAGGACAGAAACATTCAGACCATAGCACACTCCATCATTTCCATAATATCCTATCAGTTACTTAGATCAGCCTCAGGGATATGATTACCAGAAAGTAAGACTCACTGGAGGCCATCTTCTTTGAGCTGGCTACCACATCATCACAATGTACAAAGCAATGACATCTGGATTTTTCTTTTCTTTCTTTTTTTTTTTTTTTAGATGGAGTCTCACTCTGTTGCCAGGCTGGAGTGCAGTGGCATCATCTCGACTCACTGCAACCTCTGCCTCCCGGGTTCAAGCAGTTCTCCTACCTCAGCCTCCTGAGTAGCTGGAATTGCAGGCGCCCGCCACCACGCCTGGCTAATGTTTTGTATTTTAGTAGGAATGGGGTTTCACCATGTTGACCAGGCTGGTCTCAAACTCCTGACCTCGTGATCCACCCGCCTTGGCCTCCCAAAGGCTGGGATTACAGGCGTGAGCCACCACACCCGGCCTCAACGTCTGGATTTTTCTAAGCAACTTTTATTTCCTCAAAGCCTTACTTTGTGCAGTGAGCAGCTGCCATTGAATAGGACACAATATTGGATCTAATTTTCCAACTTCCTCATTAAACATATATATATATACACACACACACACACACACACACACACACACTATATCTATCTATCTATCCATCTATCTATCTATTTATCCTCTCTGTTTGTCTGTCTATCGATAGATCGATAGATGAATAGAAGAAGTTACTTCAACAAAATACTAGCGGGTAAAGCTGTTCACTTTCCAGCTCCAAGTTAACTTGCCTTTTGAAGAGTTTAAAAGGCTTAGGAGTCAAATGACCACAGGGAAAGGCTCAGATTTCCCATTCTTTTAGGAAACGTTAGCGAGTCAATGTCAAAGATACTGTCTCTAAGTTCCAGCCCTTTGCTTCCCAGACATCCTGCCCAAGTCACTTTTGCAGCTTCACATCTCTGTTTTTGTCTTCTCCTCCATCCAGGCCCCAGCCTATAAATCTATAAAGGTGCCCAGGTCCCGCCAGACTCTACTGCATCTTTTGCTTTCACTCCAGCAGAGTAGCAGCATGCTGCCTGTGCCAAGGCAATCACTAAAAGGAAAGGATTTAATGCTGTCAAAAAAAAAAGCTTATGCCAGCTTAGGCTGCAAGAAGAGGAACAGTGTCAAGTATGACGAAAGTGGCCATATTGGTCAGACCTCCATGATAGCCTAGGGGGCATTGCTTAGCAGCACACTTTTAAAGGAATCTAAACAAACCAGCATCTGGAAAGGAGAGAGTAACCACAGCAATCAGGAAACAATTGTAGAATCTAGGGACATTTCATTGGAAAAAGAGAAGTTTCCAGGGAGCTTCAGTCGTCAAACAGGCTTATTCTGTGTACCCAGTGGGCAAGTACAGTCAATGGATGAAAATTCAACCAATGGACAAACACAGGAAGTTCTTTCTTAACATGAGTTGTCAGAAACTGTCCAAAATTCCAAAGAGCTGCCTCAAGGTAGTGGAAGGTTTTTTTGTTTTTGTTTGTTCGTTTGTTTTTGTTTTGTTTTGTTTTTATCAGGAAGGTGCTGAATGAAGTCAGCAAGGATTCTGT